ACAACAAAGTATTTTACTCGGAAACAAAAAGGAAATTAAAAGTAACAAGAAATATTTACACGCGCTAAAATATTATCTGGACTCCATCAATTTCACAGCATCACCCACATCAAAAGGATTCATAACAATCAAAAAGATCATTGCTCCAAATGTTGTCTTGTAGATGTTACCAAACATGAAGCCAGGTACAACAACTTGGGAGCTCACAAAAAGCATACAATGAGTAAGTAATGGGGCTCTCTTTTCTCATAATACATTAAAGTAAAATATAGTATATCTATGATCGTAACATCTATGATTTAAATTATCAAGAAGTCGGAAAAATAAGCAAAATTTTAGCAAGATAGTGTAAAAATACTGAAATGTTACACTACATGAAAATTAATTCAATGCCCATATAATTGACCTATTTTTTTTCTTCCCAGAAATCAATTGTGTAATCTTGCAGATGTTTATAAATTATATGATTACTCTACTCCAATAATCCAACAAAGAAGAGCCAAAAAATAATGGACACAAGTACACAACAAAGGACACATCATTAGAGTACAAATCCCACTCAAATACCCAATTAATATCATGTATTATCAATACAAACAACCAAAATCACTTAATTGAAGTTCAAACTTAAGTATCAAAAGTCTAGCTCAATTAGCTCATTTGATCCCATAATCAGAATTGAGCTATAAACAGTAAATTACTACAGTATCACTCCTCAAAAACACTGATTAATCTCGACATCGGAAATCATATATTCACTATTACATCAGGTATCAACTAATACTTCATCAAAATGAATAAGGTGTAATGAAAAGGTAAAAAAAAAAGGAAGATCGGCGCATATCTGAAAACTGAGTGATATGACACAATCAAGTTTCATCATGAACCCTCCCCTTCCCCTCCAAAAACCATCTAGAGGTGGTAATGCTGCCAATATCATTACTAAAAGATACTCAGAAAAGACTAAACCTAATAATCCAAGAGAAACAGAGCAAGAGCAGAAGCCTACAACAAGATAGATTTAAGATAATATTTACTACCTTTTTATTCTTTAGAGCCATGTAGCGTGCTTTTTTGAACCACTTGTTCACCTGTCCATAGAAAAGAAAAGGAATCAGTGTCTTATTGTGATCATACAGAGTAGTTTTCAGCACAATGAAAAAAAGGATCTATGATAAAAACTTTGAGGCACACTGTTATCACAGTACTAATTAAATCTGTGGCAACTTGTATAATGGTAAGACCTCATCTCAAGGGCCTTATATGTTATGTATTCTTTTTCAGAAATCTAGTTCAATTTTCAAAGAGTTCAACTTAAAATATCATATTAAAACAAACTACAAATCAACTTACAACCTGTTCAATAACTCTTTAGGGAGTACATTGAAGAACAAGGTTAGAGAGGTGCATTGCTCTCACCAAGGACTGAGGATTAGGGTGCGATAAACCTAACAGAGTACAGCATATTCTACAGGAAGGATGCAGATAAGCTACCAAACAGAAAGAAAAGCATTCTGTCAAGGCAGCCAGCACTAAACAAAATCCGTAGCATTGTCGAAAGAAATTCATTCAACAAAGAAAAGAAGAGAGACTCTATCCGGAGTGGTTGATCCAATATTAGTTTTGGCCAAACTAAGATCTGAAGCTAAGTTTTCGTGAAGTTGGACAGAAATTCTTAAACATGAAAATATTTACAAGTTGTAGTTCATAACAGTTTTCGGATGAGAAAATGCAAAAACGAACATGGGCTATATAATTGACCAAAGAGTAGTGATGGACATCAATGGGAGGTTCAGTTACAAGTACACCCATGAGGCCATGACCGTTTCATATCAAGTAATGTTTACACATACATCATAAAATATAGTTCTCTTTCCAATTCTGCTGCAACTTTCCTAGCTTGGTAACTTCATGAGTCATGACCACTAATTCAATTAAACAGCTCAGGAAAGCAAATCATATAGAGGATACGCTTTGATAATTTCTTAGATATGCCTATTACATGAAAATTAATAGACTGTCAAAGCAGAGGTTAGTATTGGTTGACACTTGCCAGTAAAATATCTAATACTCGTGCTAACCAGAAGTACGAATTATCACTACCAAAGTACCAATTCGATCATCTATTACAAACTCACCAGAAAATGCCAATGGTTTCAATTAGCAAGGATGTAAGAGTGAGGAGCATGAAAATATGAGCCTAAACATATGCTACTCCCTCATTTACATAGAGCACATAATTATAATAAGAGCAGTAATGTCCTCCTATTTGTTTTCAAAAAGCAAGTACAAGATCAAAATAAAACAAATTGAAAACACAATCAACCACATTATCAATTCCTAATAGAAACACAAAATTAAGGTACAAAGCAAAATCGAAACAACCCAGAAAGAATAGTGATTAGAGTAGCAAAGAACTGAAAGATCTAAGAATGATTGGCGGTAATTGGGTGTGGAGAGGTGTAGCATAAGATTCATGGATCAGGATTTTTGAAACACTTGAGCTTTGATTAACAAAATTAAAAGGAAATTATAACTTACCATAAACTAAAACGAATTGAGATCCAAAAAAATAAATCAAAAATCCACTCAAGAACCCTAAATTGTCTATACTGACAATAAGTGAAAGATAGTGAAACCCTAGATTGTCGATTCAAACTGATATTCGATGATTATGAAGAACAATGTATACTTCACCTCAAATTAAATGGAGGAAAGAAAACTCAGAGTGCGCATCAATGGAAAGCTTGAAGTATGCCGCTTTGGAGGATAGAGGAGAGAGAGAGAGGAGGAAGTACAGGTAAAGATGGCAGCAAACGGCAAAATACTTTTTGAGGGGCAAAAAAGTCCAACCATTGCAAATAAGCAAAGTATAGGGTAAAAATTGTCAGTGCACTGTAGATAAGCAAAGTCTTTTTTGAGGCACTCATTATTTGTGTGTTGGGGCTTTTATAGGTTAGGGATGAATATTGTGTTAATGATTTTATCTATCCCTCTTTCCTCTTCTCTCTTATCCAATCAAGGGAAATGAATTTCTTACTCCCTCACTTCTCCTTCCATCCACTTCTTGATTTCCTAATCTAAACACACAACTAAGGTACATACTTGTAAACCATAGATCTATTATTTTGACCCATTTAATCATCAATTATGAAAAAGGACTTAAAGCTGCAGCAAGGAGCCCAACTCTTACCATTGCTTTTGTCTCTAACGATTACTAGCCGCGGGTGGGCAAAAAGAGAGAAACGTGGAAGAAAGTCTGGAAGGGCTGATGCATAGCATTTAGAAGACAAATTGTAATAAGTAACTATGGGCGGAGAACTTAGTGGCGACCAGAAAAGCAGAGATGTCTTTCTCTCTTCTATTTTCAATTCCTATTTTCTCTTCTTAGTAGCTAAAAATAATTCAAGACGACCATGAATATTTTAACAGATGTATGCTGTCAATTAATTAGAAAATTAACACATACAAGCAGTATATATTTGTAATTTTTCTTTACCTTTTGGTACCTCATTTCTGTTATCGAAAAAGCAACATGCACAATTCAAGTCATCAAATCAAAACAAAGTCATGCTTACACAAAATGTACCAAAATCAAACTACCAAATTAGCTATTCTGATTGACACTTTTAGTCCTAACTTGCTACCATTACATGGAGATTTTGAATGAGAAGCAACTGAGAAGGATACTCTTACATAACAAGGTTTAGGCCTTGCCAGTTAACATGATGTCAAACAGGAAGCAATAGTGAGATATATACCTTTCACACCTCTGATGCATGAAAACCACCAAAAAGCCACTCTCACTCTCTTTTGGTAAATGGTAAGCTGCAAGGCAATCTCCATCCCTTATCAATGCCAATGAATCGGATGGATTTTCCAAGGATTGGATGATGCAGTGATTGTAAACCTTCAAAAAGAAGCAAATTTCACATATGAAGTAGCCGTAAGAGTAATCATGCTAAAATTTCAATTGAAAGATAACAAGATAATATTGCCCAAAAAGATGTTTGCCTGCAAGTTAGCAACTTCCCTTGGTCCCAAACCAAACTCCCAGAATTACACAACCAAAATTCCACCTAGTCTAAAAGATGTAAAAAATCTCACTTGTCTAAGATATTTTCTTGTTATCGAGAAATCCACATAAAATTTCAAGCGGTTCAAAAGGTGAGAATTTAAATTTTAAGTGATGAATAAAATAAAATAAAAAATTAACCAAATAAATAAATAAAATTGGGAACAGCAATTTTCGTTCAAAAAACCTTAATCAGGGAGATAGGAAACCATCAGATATGCATCAGTAACTTTAAGCCGACAGTAACTTGCAAGTTGAGCTAAATCAGCAGCTGTCTCTGGCAATCGCAAAAGTTTAGGGTCATGTAATAACTAAGCTATGTGTATTTGCAAAATTTCAAACTTACAACTTTTCCCAACCCAGCCATACACTAGTCACCACTTTTAATGAAACAGAAAGAAGTTTCACATGGAAAAGTTACTTGGGCATGATGCAGACCCAAGTATGAAATACTTTTGTATAGTAATGTTTAAGATATAAGGGAAGAAAGCAACAATAAACTAAATCCTTAATAAACAGTTGGATGAGTTCAATGGCAAAATCAATCAGCAGATTATGCAACATACCTTAGCCACAAAGAGAGTCTTATCATCTCGCGATTAAACAGCTTTGCTGAGGGCTTGAATAAGATCCTTGCACCTTCCATACTTGGGCACCGTTACAGTAAGCGATGATGAAAGCACACTTCCATCAGTGCTCAAAAGAGTAACAGTCATGGTTCGCATAGTTGTTGAAGGAAAAGGAAGCAACAGGTACATAAACGGATCAAAAGTGACTGAGACCCTTTTGCAGATAGGACAAACCAGCTTTGATCGAAATTGACCATTAATAGAAGAAAGGTAAAAGGCGAGCTTTACTTAGATGCCCCCATATAGATATGAAATTCAACAATCCTTCCTTTCACATAATAATTTTGTGCCACACATTACCAAGCAACAAATATATGTGCCCACTGCTTAAGAAAGTTATTCTTATAACATTACATTAACAGTTCAAAACAATCTTGAGAGAGATCATTAGGAAACTGAAAGCCTGTAAGAAATATAAAATCAACTAACATGTTTATACACATTTAACAATATAAAGACAAAAAAAAAAAAAAATACTAAGCTCACATGGTACAGATCAACTATTATAGTCATTACCAGCTAGGTGAGTCTGCCAATGTTCATCTGCCACTTTATCAAGAAGCTTTGTAGTGGTACAGCGTTTCTTTGTCCATCATCCATTCGATATTACCTAAGACATGGGCTTCGGTATTAGTAGCTCATTAAGCATGCAGGAACACAACAGTGCAATCTTCCTTGAGAAGTCACAGCTACAGCATTAATTTTATGGCTTGGAATCTTGGATACTAAACTGCATTTTCCAGAATGAGCTATAGAGCTTCTGCATCCATTTCCAACTCCAGTTCAATTTACAGGTCTTTAGCAATCATGAGACCCTCTCAAATTGCTTAAAGCTCCATCGCAGCAGCAGGTCAATTGAATCGAATAGATAAGCCCATCTGCCATAAACCTTATTTCACATCTGATGACACCGCCTCCTGACTTGTCAATGGAAAATTCAAGAGCCATCTGTGTAAACCTTCATGAAAACCCTGATGGGGGGCAGGGGGGTATGGGAGGGTGAGGGGCATGATATTTTCTTGATTGTAGAAGAGGAGCTCCCGATGGATTGCTTGGCTGCAAGTAACAATCAGTAGAAATATAGTCTATCACATGAGACTATTTGCCTTTAGAGCTGGCAGTATTTAAGTAGGTTGCCATGTGCTCAAGGCAAAGAGTACCCGTCCTTTCCATCCTAGAAGAAGCCATCGACTGTCTTCATCAATCATAAAATCCTTGTGGTAAGCTGAGTGAACCTGCAACAAAGCCCTCTCCTTGATCTCCGAGTCCAGGGGAAGTTGTGTAAATCCAGCTCTGATAATACGTATCTTCCACTGCTTATATGTCTCTGGTCTCTCAACCCTCTCCCAACCCTCACAAGCTACAACATTGAGGGCTTCTCTGGCAAGAAGATCTCTTTCAATCAGCATCCTCTCACTATACTCACGGGGTACGATAGTTTCAAGCATATCAAACTGTGCTGAGAAATGAAAAAGAGCCTCTCTAAATCGGGTGACAAAGTAGGGTGCACTGTAAGAGCCATTAACCACACCATTGATGAAAACATCAGGATTAAGTTTTCTTATCAATTTGAGAGCCTTGTTTCTAGAACTTTCAACAGACACGGTTTCATCGGGCAAGTTTTTCAATCGATAGATACAATTGACAATAAGAACCTCACCCTCATCAATGTCGAAATCCTCTAGTTGAATGGTATCCCATCTCTTTGCAATTGCACGGTACTCGAAAGGAACTTTAAACTCCTGCGCATAATTCTCCAACCGACGACCAGTCTCCTCAACCCTTTCAGCAGGTCTGAAACCTGGTTGTGGAAAATCTATGCCAGTAATCTTAATTCTCGGTGGTCCACCCTCTCTCATTGATTGTCTTTGAATAAAAGTTGGCCACTGAAACCCATAAAGGATGCCAAAATCTATGATGTGGATCTTAGAAGCTTTTCTTGTTCTCTTTGCAATAGACTTGTTTGAGAAAAAATTGGACAGCTTCCTGAATGGACATGCTGCAAGATACAAAAGGTAAGCTTTTAATACATCTGCAGCAGTTGTTCTCTTGCTAGTAAGACCTTTGTAAATCTGGCTTCCAGTACCAGCCAAACGAGCCTCAAGTCCATCAGCCACATAATGGGCCAATCTCTGATTTCCATCGCCCAGTGGAGATGAGTGCTGCCTGATCTGCTTTAGAAAGTCATATGCAGTTCTGCGGTCATCAGCCGCAACAGATTGTGCACAGGTTGTAAGAAGTGTTCTCAAATCCACCACTTCTTTGCGTCCACCTTGTCTCTTATGACGGCCTTTTGGACCACTTTTCGACTCATCATTTTGCTCTGTCTTCTTGGTAGCAGCTGTTTGCAAGTTTGTTCTAAGAGAAACAACAAGCTCATTTTTATCACCACCATGATGCAAGAGAACCTTGTCAAACATATCTGAGCGTACCTTGGAGTCATCATATATAGCAGCCAGTTTAGACAACCTCTCTTCAGTATCCCCAAAAGCATGCTTCCTTCCCCGACATTCCTCCCTGATATCATCATCACCATTATTCACACTTGGATTTACTAATGATACATTACACTTCTCCTCATTATTCTTAATTAATCCATCCATATTGGTACTGAAAAGAAAGTCACTTTGAATAGGAAGGAACTTATTCGCTTCCTCAACTCCTTTATTAAACTGATAAATAGACTGACTCTCGGTACACAGGCCAGAGACCCCAAAAGAATTTATCTGAGAATCGACTAATCCCCCATCATTATCATAGCTAGCACTAGTTGAGCTATTCGACGACACTGGCAATTGGTAAACAGGAAAACCATTCTCAACATCAGAACCACAATACTCCCCCTTTCCATAACCCCAGCTGGGATCAATCACAAAGCTATTACTATCAATACTTCCATCATTGTAACACCTATATGAATCATCATAAGAACAGCTATCCGGGTTGTTCAAATTCGAACAAAAGTAAGATGGGTTTGGGTGTGAATCGCGCTTAAGCAAAGAACTCTTTCCATTAACCTCATACAAAGATTTCTCAGCATCCTGAACAGCTTGATGCTGTAATGATTCCTGAAGCATACAACCTTTACCCTCAACATCTTCTTCCATTAAAATTTGATTAATGTATGTCAAAACAGAATCTGAGAAATCATATTCTTCATTCAAATTACCCTCAGTAACACTAGAATTTAGAGATAAATCTCTTGTACATGTATCAGAAATACTGAAATTAACATCTCCAACATCACTGATGTAATTATTATGAACAACTAAACCATTTCCCAAATTGGGTAATTCATTCACATAATCATAATTATAATTTGAATATACAGGAAACCCATGATCATTAACTGACTGAAATCTAATTCCATTTGCTAATCCAACATAGTCATGAACTCTGGGATCCATTCGATTCAAATTTCTTCAATTTAACAAAAATAAATCAAATAAATCGACCCAAATTCTAAGAAAGCCAAACGTTGAATCACACAACTAAGGTATGAATTTGTACTACATGTAAGAACAGTATTGAAGAATAAGCGGAGTAATTCACGGGTTGTGAGAAACTCAAAGATGATGAATAAATACAAAAGTATAAATTCGTACCTTAGAAAAAATAGCACCCAGGAGATATTGATAGAGGTATAAAAAGGAATGGAGGGAGAGAAAGGATGAAAAGTGAAGTATAGAAAGAGTATATTGTGAACAAAAAGCTATAACTTTGTATAGATTTGATTAACAAGCATATACTAGTTCTTTACTTATTTGTGCATTATGATTTATGAACGATGCTTCATAAGTTGATTTGTGTTAGCTTTCAAAATACAATTTATACTCTCTCCATCACCAATTGTTTGCCCTTAGTCATATTTTACGAGGAAGTCTCATAGATAATAAAAATTAAAAAAAAATAATCAAGTGACAATTTTGTTTATAAATTAGCAAAAAGGTTGTTAATTTATTCACGAGTCCATATCAGCGCATAGGTGCTATATGCATCCTATGTATATAGGAGGGCAAAGACGGAAATTTACAATCCTTGAATGCTGGTGAGTTGCACGTGGCCCCGTTATTGTTTGAATTGTAACGGATCCTCGTTTTTGTCAATTTCAATATTCAAGGGTTTTACTTTCTCTTTCAGTTAGGTCCAAAATTAGTTTCTCTCTCTTCATCTCCTCTCTCTGTCTCATCTTCTCTGTTCTCACGAAGCGGCTTTGTCTCATTGATCGTCGGCGGGAGGTGTATAATTCGCCGGCAGCGTAGTGAGGTGGTTTCCGGACAAAGATATTCGTTAGTGAGAGTATTAGTTGCGTTGTTTCGCTGAAAGGTATAAGTGTACCCTGTAGTTACTGTACTCTGTTCCAACGAAGAGACTACGACGGTGGTTGCTGCCGGAGCTAGAAAAGAATTTTGGTGCGTGGTAATCGTAAGCAGTTACGTGAATTGTATACCGGCAGTCGTTGGTTCCTTTGATTGAAGGTATGGGCTGGAAACCGACTGTAACAATTCTGCTATGGACGCATTTGTTGGCTATTAAGAAATTTAAAAAGTAATTGTAAATTGTTTGTTGTTATGAAGTTTAGTTTACGTAATTTAGGGTTTTGCAGTGAATTTATCGATTTAGGGGTACCTGTGTCGGTCATTTATTTAATTGGGAAAAATTTTAGTGGGCGTGGTTCGAAAACCCTTAATTGGAATGAATTTGTTGTTATGATGTTTTAGTTTATGTGATTTACGGTTATCTAGTGAAATTAGCGAATTAGGGTTTCCTTTGTTGATCATTTTTATAATTGGAATTAATTTGAGGATGTGAAACCCGTAATTGGAATGAATTTGTTGTTATGATGATTTAGATTGTGTAATGCTTTGTTAACCGCTGAAATTTGCTACCCTTTGTTGTTTAATTGTAATGAACAAGTGAAATTGTTATGGGTGTGCTGGTAGGAGTGTTGAATTAAAGTATTTAATTTAATTTGAATCCATGTAAATGAGTGATTAATTGTGAGATTTTTTGTGGAAGACGTATTGAATTATGAATAAGTGATATTGTTACATTAAGGAATTATGACTGTTGTGGTATGTATATGTGAATATAGTGGAGAAATTATATGTGAAGAGTTAAGGGTTTGTTGAAATGGTTTTATGTAGTTAGGAAATCCCATTTATCGAGCGTTCATTGGAACTTGGCAGGAGGAAATAATGCCGAGGAAGAGCAAGGGATCAGGAATGGTGAGTTATTGTTTGTTGAAATTAAAAGATTGTGTGTTTTCTTAGTGATGGTTGTGTGTTGTAGTTGATTTATGGTGGCATATATTTGTGTTTGTGTAGGCGCGGTCGAAAGCCGTGAATGTAGAGGCGCCTAAAAAGAAAGCAGCTAGTAAAGGGAAGAAGAAACTGAAATCTGATTAGTTTTTGAGGTAGAGTATTTAAAGGACTCTAATGAAGCTGGTTCTGATGATCGTGGTTATGCTAAATCTAGTAGTGATGAAGCTGCTTCTAATGATGCTGCTTCCACATCTGGTGATTATGAGGAAGATGAGGATGTGGAGGATGATGGTCAAGGTAGTGAGGAAGAACTAGAACAGGACAAAGTGAGCTACCAGGATCTCTAGATCAAGTATTGCGGGAAAAGGTTGAGAATTCTATCTTGGTCTCACTAACAATAGTAAGGGTAAGAAAGGGTCGAACCCAAGAGAGGCGTTGAATCAACCACCGAGTACTACCGTTTAAATAAGCTAAATGAATTCTAAATTGGGTTGGTTTTGAGTAACTTCTTCTAATTCAACTCAACTAAAGCTAAGAGGAGATTAACAATATTAAGAGGAATCTAGGGCTCGGGTTATACCACTCAACTTCATCACAAATCACAATTAGCATGCTACAATCAAGGTAAATTAATGGGACAAATTAGGGGAATTCATCTAAATCACCCAACTACTCTCTCAAGCTAGAGGGATTACTTGAATCATGAATACAACCTACTCTCGTGGTTACATAGCATAAAACAAGTGTTAAAGCATAATCACGATGACATAAACATTCCCTTGACCGGTAATCCCTATTCTCATGGCATTTCGGGTCAATTAAGCATAAGGGAGCTAACTCAAGTTCATCTCTCGATCCTTCGTTGAGAAAGCTTGGATAAATAGTTCTAGCAATGGCCATATACAAGAACTAAGCAATTAAACCACTTAAGCTCAACTAATCATGATCCCACAACAACCAAATTAGCACATTCAACAAGTAATTAGTGACTACATTGAGGGTTTTACCCAAACCCTAGAATTTAGACTACTCACAATCCATGGAGCTTAAAGCAATTAGAGGTTTCAAGCAATTCATGAACAAGTTCAAACTAAGGATTAAGCTAATTAACAATCTAAGCATGCAAGAATTAAGCAAGTAATCAACAACAAAGTAAAGAGAAGTAGAAAAGATGAGTAAGAAATGGTTACTATGAAGCTTCAAAGTGAGCAACAATGGTGGATTTTGTCTTCTACAATGATTGAATTTGAATGCTTCCAAGCTAAAAATTAAGAACTAACTAATGATTTGAGAATTTAATGTTCTAAGACTACAAACTAAGAGGAAAGCTCTAAAAAAACTGCATCCCGTACAAATGAGCTCAAAGGGGGTATTTATAAGACCCCCAAATAAAAAGGACGGAGAAAACAAGAATCGGGCTTGACTGCAGGTCCGCACGGACGTGCCAGATTTGGCACGCACGTGCAAGGCTAGGCACGGCCGTGCCAAGTTTGGCACGGACGTGTAGGAGGGCCAAAATGGAGGCAGAAGCTTCTGCCAAGGTCTGCACGGACGTGCAGCTTTTGGCACGGACGTGCAGACTTGCACGGACGTGCTATCATCTTGCACGTCCGTGCAGGATGCCCTGCCTAGACTGCTTAACTTTGGGAAGCTGTAACTTCTACGTTTCTTGTCGGAAATGGACTTGTGACCAGTCGTTGGAAAGCTCTTGAGACAAACTTTAATCTCCAATTTGAATCGCTTCAAAAGGTTGATAAGATCAAAAGTTATGGTCATTTGAAGTTTACCTTAGTGAAAAAATCCTTCCAAATGCTCTTATTTCACTCTTGTACACTTTTCCTTGCTTCTTTCATTCTTCCATAGCTCCCTTATTTCCTCTTCTTGTCTCCAATTTTTTTTTTCTTTGTCCAAAAGCTTCAACGTGCCATATTTATACCTAAATATGCACCAAAACACTAGCAAACCCGTGAAGCATATGATACACAAAAAATGCATAAAAATAGAGTAATTAGTAAACTAAGCATTGATTTCCCACAATTCTAAGGCTCAAAAATCACTTTAAAATCATACAAAATAACAAGTTATCACATCCCCCCAAGCTAAGCTTTTGCTCGTCCTCGAGAAAAACAATAATGTCAAACCAAAGAAGGGAAATAACGTGCTAGAATCTAAACAAGGAGGGGCAACAAGGAGAATTCATATACACACTAATCCGTATGGTAGCCACCACTATCACTTTAAGGGCAAGTGAGAAGCAATTTAAACCTCTAAGTCGCCCTAGAGGACGAGTTTTTATCTCGTGAGGGTTTCCAATGAGCTTGCCCCACAACTCACGCAATCCACAACACATCGTCAAAAATCACACAATTTCAATTTTTCGCCCAAGTCAACTCATCTGGATATGAGACACAAGCAAGACAAGTGAACAACTTTCAAGAATTACCAATCATAAAAATGTACACATGACTTGGGGGTAGAGAGGAGAACTAAACAAGGTTGCACTAGGATACTTCCTTTGGCCTTTTACTAGTTCATTAAAGCAATCCTAGATATTCCAAAGTTGTAACAAGCCCTCTTTCGGTTATAAAATCTCAAAATGCTAGTCCACCTCCCAAAATGCACACCCAAGGCCCCTTAACTACACTCTAACTCGGGAATTTCATACGAAACAACAATACAAACAAGGTGTGGGAGGCATCCACGAGTTGACCTCTAAAGAAGAGAATTTTTTTTTTTTAGAAGTTTTGGGGTAGTTTTTGTTCTCCCCTTTTTTATGCTCTTCTTTTTTTTTCAATTTTCAATGCCCTCGCCTCTTTTAACTGTGAGCGGCTCTTTTTTTATTGAGAACGTGTGGCTTATTACGCCACTTATTACACATGATACAAGTAGAACCAATTCCCTAATAGAGTTTCATTTCGGGGAGGAAAGGGGACACATCAAGGGCACAAGGGACCACAAATTTATTCAAACATATCCTACTTGAGCAAATTAGACAATATCTTATACTAGGCGTGCAATTGAGCATTCATTGGCTTTCATTTCATATACTCCAATGCAATCAAGATTAATAGACCTCTAAATGACCCCAACTCGTGCACACACTCTTCTAAAAAAACTTTTACTCATCACTCAAGAGTCAAGCAAGCAAAACATATAATCGTCATTTGAGTCTCATCCTTGGGCAAATTTTTTTTTTTTTTCATTTTTCAATTTTTTCATCATTTTTTTTTTGAAGAGAAAGCGAAAATATTCACATTACTAACTAGAGAGGGAACACTAATATTCACATGACAAGAGGTTTGGATTTCAAGGAAGCTAAATTGGATTAAGGGCCTTAGATATTAGGGAAATGAAACAACCAAAACAAACGCAACCAAACAAACCAACATGTCAAGAAGGCATGCAAATGACTCCCCCCAAGTTATCATATACATTGTCCTCAATGTTAAGCAATAAAAGCTCATAAAAAAAGGAGAAAGAAGACTAACTCAAGGATCGGGTCTTCTTCGACGCTTGAACCTCCTTGGTACCTTTGTTCCTGTTGGTTGTTGTTGGAAGACATGCACTTTGTGCTGTTTTTTTTTTCTTCTTTTGTTTTTTCTTTTTTTTCTTTTCTTTTTTTTAAGTTAATCCACTACAAAAATATTCGGGTTGCCTCCCGGAAGCGCTTCTTTAACGTCACTAGCTTGACGACATTGCGCTATCCAAAATTAGGGAGGGTCAAGGCACACCTTTTTGACCCATCTCATTGTTCCCACACACTTGCCATTTTCCTTAGGCAAAATAATCACATTGCTATCATCACTAGAAATGCAACCAAACATCTTGTTTATCAACTTGATCTTGTTTTTCTTTTTCTTCTTGGCCTTCTCTTGCTTTTTCACCTCCGGAGCATGAGTCGATTCATCTTGTGACTCCTCCATGTATTCTTTCAAAATATTAACCAAAACATCAACCCGATGAACTTGTTTAACCATGGGGTCATTCAACGTTTCCGGAAATGAAAAGAGATTCTTTCATGCCCAACATGTAAGGTAAGCCGCCCTTGTTTCATGTCAATATTAACACCCGTGGTTTTAAAAAAGGGCCTACCCAATATGAGAGGAATTTTGAAATCCTCATCCATCTCCATGATTACAAAATCACAAGGCACAAGAACCTTCCCCACTTGAATTGGGATGTCCTTAAAGACTCCCAATGGGTCTTTAACCAAGCGGTCGGCTAGTTGGATTGACATTTTGGTGGGGCTAATCTCCCCAAGATTTAATCTTTTTGCCATAGAGAGAGGCATAAGGCTAACACTAGCCCCAAGATCACACAAAGCATTTGTTGATTCAAGATCTCCAACCTTAACCGGTATAGCAAAACTACCGGGGTCACCAAACTTCTCGGGAATCTCATTTTGAGGAATAGCACTTATCTCCGTTGGAAGAGAGATAGAATCACTCTCCTCAAGCCTACTCTTGTTAGAAAGAATATTTTTCAAAAACTTTGCATATGTAGGCATTTGAGACAAAGCATGGAGAAGTGGAATATTTTATTGAAGTCCTTCCATTTCATCAAGGAACTTAGAAAGTTTCTCATTTAGATTCTTCTCTATCATTCTATGAGGGAATGGAATATGAGGCTCATATGCTCTCAATGGAGCTTGACTCTTCACTTCTCCATCATCTCTCTTTGAGGCACCCTCATCACTCATTTTTGACCTTCCTCTCGCCTCCTCACTCACTTTATTTTCAAACTCACTTTCATCTACCCAACTATCTCCCTCATCTCCCTTTTTGGCAACATTTTCTCTCATAATTGGAGTTTCATACCCTCCTTCCATAATAAAGGTGATTGATTTCGCTTGCTCTTTTGGATTCATTACCGTTGTGCTTGGAAATTGACCACCGGGGTTAGAGGTGCACCCAACTTGTTGTGCAATTTGAGATAATTGACGTTCAATCATCTTGTTGTGTGCTTGGAGTTGTTGAATTGAGCTACTAACTTCCCCATTGATTTTGATTTGTTGGGTCATGAAGGTTTCCAAAACGGATTCAATGTTGGATTTTGGAGGAGGAGGGGCTTGATTGTATTGGGGTCTTTGTTGGACATTTTCTCTTTGATTGGGGTGGCGATAGGGAGCTTGTTGTTGTGGAGGGGGTTGATTGTAAGGAGGAGCTTGGTTGTAATTGTTTTGAGGAGGGGGAGCTTGATTGGGTTGTTTCCACCCAAAATTTGGATGTTCTTTCCAACCTTGGTTAAAAGTTTGGGAGTAAGGATCATTCCTACCAAGTGAAGCCACATGCTCCATTGTAGTGTTGCAATAGGATTCTAAGTGGTCATTTCCTCCACAAGTCTCACAAGACATGACTTGTGGGGAGGAGCTACCGGGCACATTGTTCACTTGATCTAGCTTTCGAGCTAACATATCAACCTTTGAAGCAATAAGATCTATTGCTTTAAGATCATGCTTACCGCCCTTCTTGGGTTGACCTGGCCTTTTATCACCTCCATAAGCATAATGCTTAGCCACTTCCTCAATCATTTTGTAGGCCTTGTCAACCGATAGCTTTTTAAGGCTACCTCCGGCTCCCGAATCAAGGTTGGCCCTTGAGGTAGGAGTAAGACCATCATAGAAGCTTTGCACTATGATCCATGAGGTGAAACCGTGGTGAGGGCATGCTCTAGTATAATATTTGAACCGCTCCCATGCTTCACTCAAAGTTTCATCAACCTCTTGGTTGAAGTTTGTGATCTTCCGTCTTAATTCAGCGGTTTTCTCGGGAGGGCAATACTTCCCAAGAAAAGCTCTAGTCACCTCATCCCAAGTACTCAACGATCCCTCTTCAACCGTTCTCAACCAATGCTTTGCTTTGTCTCGAAGGGAGAATTGAAACATGTGCATCCGAATAAACTCTTCCGAAATGTTGTTTTCCTAGGACCGACAAGGCCACGGCCATAGTACACCCCGCCTTTAGACTATCCCAGTGCCTAATAGCTAATACTATTTTTGCTAGGGGAGATAGTTCGGGTGTAGTTTCTAACCGTGAGTTGCTTTTTCTTTGGCACTTGAGTGAGGGTGACGAGAGGTTGAACTTAGGGGCTTGGCTTGTAGACCACCTAGATGATGTATCCTCGGGGAGTGGAGTGATAACAATTGGGGGGATGATCACTATTATTGCTGCTTTTCTTGATCTTAATTTTGCAGATTTGGAAATCATTCCCGGGCCAACGACACTTGACATCCGCTCCCTCAAGGCTATGCATTGGTTGGAGGAAGATGAAGAGGGTAGGACCTACACGTGGATGGTAAGTAGGCGCCCCTATGCAACTTTGCCAAATCCGGAAGCCGCGGTTATTTACAACCCCGAGAATTGGGTCTTTGAGCCGGATTTTGAGTGGATTCCGGGTGGAGAAGATGACCAAGCCCAAGGCGGCGAGGAACAATTCCAACAACAACAACAACAACATCAACATCATCAACAATTTCAACAACATCAACATCATCAACAATTTCAGCAACAACAATTTCATCAACAACACGAGTTTCAACAAAGGGACCAAGAGGGTTACCAAGATCAAGGTGTGGGTGAAAATAACCCATACCTCTCTTTTGAGCATCAAGTAGCCAACATGAATGCGAATTTTGCCCGCATGACCACCGAATTCGAGACCTTAAGGAAATCAAACGAAGATATGAGGACTTCTTTTGACTACATGAGAACAAGTTTCGAAGGTCTCAGATCGAAGTTGGGCGATTTCCGCACTATGTACCGGCATCTCTACCCAGGGGGCTCAAGCTCCCAAGGGGGCCCGAACCAATGAGTTAGTTTCTTCCTCCCCTTCTCTTTGTGCTTGCATTGCTTTAACATTGGGGACAATGTTTATGATAGCTTGGGGGGGAGTGTTCTCTCATGTATCATTGGTTCGTGTTGTGTTTTCGTGTTTCCATGATTGAGTTTGCATGTTGGTTTTTCCCATTCTCTTCTTCCCTAACATCCAAATCCTTTAAATCCAAATTTGCTCCCTTTGAAATCCAATACCCTAAATCCAAATTTCTTATCTTGTGAATACCTCTCTTATTTTTTCATTTAGATGTATAGTTTTTTTTTTATTATTATTTTTATGCTTAGTTTAGCTAGCTTAATGTTGTAATTTTTCATTTCTTATTCATCAAAAAAAAAAAAAAACAAATCGAAAAACGAAAAAAAATATTGAAAAATGAAAAAAAAAAAATTTGCCCAAGGTTGAGACTCAAATGACAATGCTTATATGTTTTTCTTGCTTGACTCTTGAGCGATGAGTACTAGTTCTCTTAGAAGGGTGTATGCAAGAGATGGGGTCATTTAGAGGTCTATTAATCTTGATTGCATTAGTGTATATGAAATGAAAGCCAATGAATGCTCAATTGCACACCCAGTATAGGATATTGTCTAATTCGCTCAAGTAGGATATGTTTGAATTGAATTGCGGTCCCTTGTGCCCTTAATGTGCCTCCTTTCCTCCCCGAAATGAAACTCTATTAGGGAATTGGTTATATTTGTATCATGTGTAATAAGTGGCATAATAAGTCACATGTTCTTAATAAAAGAAAGAGCCGCTCACAGTTAAAAGAGGCGAGAGCATTGAAAGTTGAAAAAAAAGAAAAGAAAAGAAGAGCATAGAACAATGAATAAAAAGGGAGACTCTCGAAAATTATCAAAATTTTCTTCTTTAGAGGTCAACTAGTGGATGCCTCCCACACCTTGTTTACATCATTGTTTCTTATGAAATTCCCGAGTTAGAGTGTAGTTAAGAGGCCTTGGGTGTGCATTTTGGGAGGTGGACTAGCATTTTGAGATTTTGTAACCGAAAGAGGGCTCATTACAACTTTGGAATATCTAGGTGTGCTCTAATGAACTAGTAAAAGGCCAAAGGAAGTATTCTAGTGCAATCTTGCTTAGTCCTCCTCTTTACCCCCAACTCATGTGCACATTTGTATGATTGGTAATTCTTGAAAGTCGCTCATTTGTCTTGCTTGCGATTTATATCTCGATGAGTTGACTTGGGTGATAATAACATCGGAACTTGTGTAGTTTGATAGTTTTGTTGTGGTTTGTGTGAGTTGTGGGTTAAGCTCAATGGAAACCCTCACGAGATAAAAACTCGTCCTCTAAGGCGACTTAGAGGTTTAAATTGCTTCTCACTTGTGCTAAAAGTGATGATAGCTGTCACCATGCGGATTGTGTATTTATGCTTCCTCCTTGTTGCCTTTCCTTGGATTGATGTTAGCAAGTCGTTTTCCTCCTTTGATTCGACATGTTTGTTTTGCTCGAGGACGAGCAAAAGCTTAGCTTGGGGGGATTTGATAACTTGTTATTTGGCATGATTTTAGGGTACTTTTGAACCTTGTTTTCGTTATTAATCGACATCAAAGTTCATTTTTTATCCTATTTTTATGCAAATTTTGTACCATCCATGCTTCACCGGTTGTTTGTGTTTTTGATGTAATGTAGCTATTTTTAGCACTATGGACATGATCAAGCATGAGTGAGCAAGAATAAGGGCAAGCTTGGTTGATAGAGCCATGGAGGAAGAAGGAGGAATGCCTTAAAGGAAAATGAAAAGCTTTTGGAGAACCTTGAAAGGTCGTTTGCGTAAGCGTCAACTTCAACCAACCATAACTTTTGATCTTATCAACCTTTTGAAGCGATTCAAATTGGAGATTAAAGTTTGTCTTAAGAGCTTTCCAACGACAAGAAACGTAGAAGTTACAGCTTCCCAAAGTTAAGCAATCTAGGCAGGGCATCCTGCACGGACGTGAAAGATGATAGCACGTCCATGCAAGTCTGCACGTCCGTGCCAAAAGCTGCAAGTCCGTGCAGACCTTGGCAGAAGCTTCTGCCTCCATTTTGGCCCTCCTGCACGTCCGTGCCAAACTTGGCACAGCCGTGCCTAGCCTTTGCACGTGCGTGCCAAATCTGGCACGTCCGTGCGGACCTGCAGTCAAGCCCCATTCTTGTTTTCTCCGTCCTTTTTATTTGGGGGTCTTATAAATACCCCCTTTGAGCTCATTTGTACGGGATGCAATTTTTTTAGAGCTTTCCTATTAGTTTGTAGTCTTAGAACATTAAATTCTCAAATCATTAGTTAGTTCTTAATTTTTAGCTTGGAAGCATTCAAATTCAATCATTGTAGAAGACAAAATCCACCATTGTTGCTCACTTTGAAGCTTCATAGTAACCATTTCTTACTCATCTTTTCTACTTCTCTTTACTTTTTTGTTGATTACTTGCTTAATTCTTGCATGCTTAGATTGTTAATTAGCTTAATCCTTAGTTTGAACTTGTTCATGAATTGCTTGAAACCTCTAATTGCTTTAACCTCCATGGATTGTGAGTAGTCTAAATTCTAGGGTTTGGGTAAAACCCTCAATGTAGTCACTAATTACTTGTTGAATGTGCTAATTTGGTTGTTGTGGGATGATGATTAGTTGAGCTTAAGTGGTTTAATTTCTTAGTTCTTGTATATGGCCATTGCTAGATCTATTTATCCAAGCTTTCTCAACGAAGGATCGAGAGATGAACTTGAGTTAGCTACCTTATGCTTAATTGACCCGAAATGCCATGAGAATAGGGATTACCGGTTAAGGGAATGTTTATGTCATCATGATTATGCTTTAACACTTATTTTATGCTATGTAACCACGAGAGTAGGTTGTATTCACGATTCAAGTAATCCCTCTAGCTTGAGAGAGTAGTTGGGTGATTTAGATGACTTCCCCTAATTTGTCCCATTAATTTACCTTAATTGTAGCATGCTAATTGTGATTTGTGATGAACTTGAGTGGTATAACCCGAGCCCTAGATTCCTCTTAATATTGTTAATCTCCTCTTAGCTTTAGTTGAGTTGAATTAGAAGAAGTTACTCAAAACCAACCCAATTTAGAATTCATTTAGCTTATTTAAACGGTAGTACTCGGTGGTTGATTCAACGCCTCTCTTGGGTTCGACCCTTTCTTACCCTTACTATTGTTAGTGAGACCAAGATAGGAATCATTATCTTTGGTAGGCTCGACGACGGCCTATCAAATTTTGGCGTCCTCGAGAAAAAAAATAATGTCAAACCAAAGAAGGGAAATAACGTGCTAGAATCTAAACAAGGAGGGGCAACAAGGAGAATGCATATACACACTAATCCGTATGGTAGCCACCACTATCACTTTAAGCGCAAGTGAGAAGCAATTTAAACCTCTAAGTCGCCCTAGAGGACGAGTTTTTATCTCGCGAGGGTTTCCAATGAGCTTGCCCCACAACTCACGCAATCCACAACACATCGTCAAAAATCACACAATTTCAATTTTTCGCCCAAGTCAACTCATCGGGATATGAGACACAAGCAAGACAAGTGAACAAATTTCAAGAATTACCAATCATACAAATGTACACATGAGTTGGGGGTAGAGAGGAGAACTAAACAAGGTTTCACTAGGATACTTCCTTTGGCCTTTTACTAGTTCATTAGAGCACACCTAGATATTCCAAAGTTGTAACAAGCCCTCTTTCGGTTATAAAATCTCAAAATGCTAGTCCACCTCCCAAAATGCACACCCAAGGCCCCTTAACTACACTCTAACTCGAGAATTTCATAAGAAACAACAATGCAAACAAGGTGTGGGAGGCATTCACGAGTTGACCTCTAAAGAAGAGAATTTTTTTTTTTAGAAGTTTTGGGGTAGTTTTTGTTCTCCCCTTTTTTTATGCTCTTCTTTTTTTTTTCAATTTTCAATGCCCTCGCCTCTTTTAACTGTGAGCGGCTCTTTCTTTATTGAGAACGTGTGGCTTATTACGCCACTTATTACACATGATACAAGTAGAACCAATTCCCTAATAGAGTTTCATTTCAGGGAGGAAAGGGGAC